TGGCACAGACCAAGCAGCATAGAAGCAGAATAGAAGGCCTCTCAAAACTCTTCATATTTTTTTAGACTAAATTGAAATGTAAGTCATGAATCTATGAATCATTCAAAATGTATACGTTGTTATAAAAAGCATCTTTTATGCTAACTTCATCAAACTTTAGACGTTTTATTATGTACACCACTTTTGACTCTGCTCAATGCATAAGCGTAGGATTTTAGGGAATGTGTTTATTTTTATACCCACATGTATGAAATCCTGATGACATCATCTTTGGTGACTAATTCGGCCAACTATGAGCCTTATAGGTGAAAATATTTGTCATCAAAATCCTGATTGGAAAGGCAGTTTTCCCTAAAATGACATGGACTAAAGGCAATATGTTTGTCTAATTGGCCTACAGCACAGACTGTACTGTACCACACATTAGCTTGACGTAAAGTTAAGGTTTATACATACCAGATTCCTTGTTAACAGTAGTGATATACAGTGATATATTCCCAGCAGCTGGAGCAAAGCATCTTATATCAGTCCATACATTGAGTATTGATGAAGTTTTATTGTGTTAATTAAAAACTAGCTTTCTTGTCTATACTCCTATCAATCTGTTTTCTAAAGTTACTGTATTGTATTAAATTTTAATGTACCGTACTGGAGTTATAATTTATGGGTGTGAAGTGACAGGATTTTTTCTCACAACTAAGATCAACTCTATTTCTAAAGCCTCATAAAGTCTACATAATCTATGTTTTTGTTTTGTTTTGTTTGTTTCGTATTTCGAAATTCATGTCATAATTTTTCTCCCTGTAATTAGCCTTTGACTATAGTAATTCAATTTCTTTCATTTAATATGATTTTTCAGTTTTCTTAATTGAAGTTTTATTATGCGTGCTGTATATTGGTTATATGTTTTAAATATTCTGATATTAAAAATATGTTCATTATTATATATTCTTATTTAATGTTTATATTTTTTCCCATTTCTGACACCTTGTAAAATTATGTACAATTCGCTTTTCATTGCAGGTGCGATTATTGTCACTAAACCTATTGGCCCCGGCCATTCAATATACTGTTGTGCCAATGGAACAGAAAATTTCTGACAATGAGTTTAGATTCTTTTAGAGATTGTGAACAAACCTCTGCCCACGCCTCATATGTCTGGTATTTGCTTTGTATTCTTTATTTGAGAAGGAAATAAAAGTGTGGTATAATAGCAATAAAAAAAATGTTTTAGAATTCAATCTGCACCTACATACTAAACCAGCCATAAACACACAAGCCACACCATGGCTTGCATGAAAGAAAATTTAATCTGGCCTGTGCAATAATTACTGCACAGTGGATATTGCCTATTATGTTATGTACAGCAGTTGTATAAGAGCTTGAAATTTATGCAGACAATGTATTAGAACATTTCATTATTGTAAATTAATCTCATCGATACTCATTCATCAAGTTATTCAAAATTACTGTAGTCTGGGAGGTCCTCTCCTTTCACTACTCTTTTATTGGTTGTCATGATAATAATTTGTTAAACGTAAACAAATATAAGTGAGTGAATAGATTTTCCTAATAAAAATTGAATTGGTCTTAACAGTCATACTGTAGGTTCAAAGTTTATTGATTATTTGAACTTTTTTTTAAGATGACAACGAACCAAAATAAGATTTATTTTAAACCTGAAACGACTTGATCTAGAAATGCCATTCAACCTGCTGAAATCACAGATACTTAAAATCTTCACAAGTTCTCAAAGAGATGAGCAAACTTTAGGAATAGAGATAGGCTTATTTAGCTGTATATATTATCTGATTATAGATTATGGCTATCTATAAAACAGTTTATACTTGTTTGGGATACCTTAATTAACTCAGATTTATGAGTACTGATATTGATCAAACACTGTTTAGTCTGACAGATAAAAATGTAATAGTATTATTTATTCCTTCCCACAGGCTATAACAATTTTAATTAACAAATCTTTAATCCAATACCAATCAACCTGTTAAAATCACAGACACTTAAAAAGTTCATTGCTTCTTAAGGAGATGAGCAAATGTTAAAAATAAAGGTAGACTTTATCTGACAGTAGTGCAGACTTTATTTAACTGTGCTTCTTTAACAGATACAGTATCTGATCAATAAGATTGTCTGTTCTCTATCCTTGTTTAGTCGAAATAATTTGATCAAATATTCTTGAGTTTGATATACAAAAATTGTATCCCTGACTTTATTCTTTCACACAGGCTATAAAAGTTTAATCACCCAATCTTTAATCCTGCAATGACTCAACACCAATCAACCTGTTAAAAGCACAGACACTTAAAAAGTTTACAAGATCTTAATGGGATGAGCAAATGTTTAGGAATAGATAAATTGACTATAAATGTTTAGGCAATTAAAACTTTTTTTTCAGCAAACTAATTGTCAATTTGTTTAGTACCTTGAAAGTATCGTCACTATTAATTTGTTTTGAATTGTAAGATAAATTAGGGATTTATATCAGGAATAATAAGCTATAAATTTCTTTGATTCATGATGTACTGAGTGGAAGTAGTTGCAGGCTGTCCGGTTCCAAGGTCCAGATCATCAAGAAATATCACAATGTTTCTCAGGACTAAAAGTCCACTTGGACTCCACAAGACTCAATTTAAGAGGCTTGGTTATGGTGCATCGAAGGTTCCAAATGATTAGCTTCACAGGATGAATCACCCTCATTAAATATATAATAGCTACCTGTAGTAATGATCAATCTGCATAGAATATTTTGAGATTATCATTAAGGAGTTCAACGATCGATGAATGGTTGAATTTGCACTGCAGCCTATATATTCCTTGTCCACTTTTAACCGTAATCAGCTGGGAATTTTCCATATTTGGTAGACTTCAATTAATCTTTTTGATGACCTTTTCTACTGATATGTTCTTAGGTTTGTGCTACTTTTGATATTTCATAGATAGGAACCTAGGATGAAAAAGATGTTAGATATACTGCCACCAAAAAGTTGAAATAACAATTAAAATTAAACTTGTAATTACTCATTTTAAAAAAACCATACAATGTCATCAACTTTCCTTATTAAGTCTCAGATTTAAAAAAAAAAAGTTTTTTAATGACCTTATTTAACTACAGAAATTGTTTTTTTTTGTTTTTCCAAAAATTGATAAGTGTATACAAAGAATTAAATGTTTAATTTATCAGGAACACTTATTTGAAATAACGCCTATACAAGTTAAGCAATTTTTATTTTCAAATTAATGTTTTCGCCAAAAGGCAAAGATTTTCTTTCAGAGTAACCAAAAGTTAATGATTTATGTCACAAATGCCTGTGGTTTGGCCCTATTTGGATATGACATCATCATACCAATATGTGTATGAGTGATATTACATCATCATGCCCATATATGGGAAATTCACAAACATTTGTCACATAAAAGTTGATAAAAGTATGTAGAAAATTAGACAGGTTTATTTTGCACATTTGAACTTATTTTCAATGGAATTTGTGCAATATAAATTAATCAATTATTATTACCGGTGTTATTATTAATTTTTTTTTTTTACTTTTTAACTGTAAATAGTTAAAGAAGTCTGCAATGAGCAAGTTTGTATTGTGTGATTTTCATGGACATCTTTTTGTTTAATCATGATGATATTTTAACTATTAATGTACAGTAGGTCTGATCAATGGTACAAGTATGTCAATCAAAGTACTTCTAGAAAAGTGAAACAAATGGCAAATTTTTAGTAGAATTTTCTACATACTTTTGTATAAAAAAATAAAACTATTTATATCCCTCCAACAACAGATGTTGAATAAGCTTACAAACAACATTTGTGATGTTGACAGGATTCTTAAAACCCAACTAGCAAATCAGCCCACTAGACTTGAAATATCCGTGTTGCCAACCATATTGTGCCATCCAACACAGTTTTAAGCAGTGTCTGAATGATCTGATTGAGTGCTAATGACCTGTAAAACAAGTTTAGCATAAGTACAAGAACATATTTTCTTCAGAAATGATATGTGACTGAACTTGTGGTATGGTGGCTTGCCGACTTTAGCATATACTTGAATAGGACTTGACGTGATGGCCGGCCTGCCTGCACATTGCAGTCAGGTTGACTATCGTTTGTGTATGCCAATTAAAGACGAGTCAGTACCGATTGCCACATATGTTTGGTCCCTGTCAACTTGGAGTTCAGAATAATTAGTGCTATAAATTGTAGTACTTCATTTACTGTATACTTTGGTTTTGTGGGATAGGGTATAGAAAATATTATGTATTGAAAGTGGTATTTTCATGGCAAATAATTCCAAATATTTTTTTATACAGCTATTTAATATAGTTCAGATTAACTAGTAGTTTAAATTTCATATTTATATTAATTGTTTTGGTTTGGATAATTTAGGAAGCGGAAGAAATAATACTTACAATAGATGTAAATGGGAAATTTCCTTAATTCCTTTACTTTATTTAGTTGCCGCTTTTTTTATACAGTACACGTGTTTACTTAGGTGTTTAAGATTCTGTTTATAACCTAAAGGTTCTATAAATAAATGGTATCATTTGACATCATTAATAACTACTTCTTGTATCCAAACTACTGTATTATTAATAATACAGTACATGCAGTCATTTATTGCTACAGTAGGCCTATTATACTAATCTTATAATAAATGATATTGCTTTCAAATCAAATATATTTACTAAATATTATTTTTAATTTATAATTAATTACTATTATAATTGTCATAATTGCTTTATTTTTGAAATTATGAAATTGTCAATTCCTTTGTTTGGATTGTCAGGCCCAGGGTAACAGTAATGTAAATTAGTTTACTTTTGACTTTTCTTGCCCTCTTATGAATTGGTTTTATTGTGTATTTTTAATTGTTATGGCTGAATAATGAATGAATTGTAATTGTTGCTCTCTCTATCATTGTCATTTTACTTATTGCTTTCGTTAACCTAATAGTGTGTTTTCTTTTATTTAGATTCTTGTGACAGTGATCCATGCGAGAATTCCGGAATGTGCGTCAGTGTAGAAAATAACCGTTACACATGTATGTGCCCACCGCAGTGGAAAGGCACAAACTGTGAGATAGACTACGACGAGTGTATCAGTGACGTCTGTAAAAACGGGGGCACATGCATTAATGGTCCGGGAAACTACACCTGCGTATGCGCACCTGGATTCACTGGACCCAACTGCTTAACAGGTACTATACCAAACAATTTTTGATTCTTACTCGGAATTTTATTTATAGTCTTGGCATCATCTATAAAATTTCCCATATGCTATTATTATAATTATTATTGGTATTGTTTTTTTTTGTTTTGTTTATAGTTATTATTAATATTAATTATTTGTAATATTGTTATTATTATTATTATAAATAATAGTATCATTATTATTTTATTATTTTTATTTTGATAGTGATTGTTGCCACAATACACAATTAAAATTTGCTATCGGTGAGACAATAACTGAAATGACAAAGAGAAAATATTAGGTCAGAATTGACGGAGAGAATTACGATTTACTATTGAGAGGACAGATGTGCTAGCCTACAAACACCTTTTGAAAACAGCTTCTATAGTAGTTTTTAATATCTTGCTAATTAGCCGAATTACAATTGCCTGTACCCTTGAATATTGAAATGACAGTAAATCATTTTTCAGATGCGTGTTATGATCAACCCTGTCTAAATGAAGGCACCTGTGGTTTAGATGTGCACATTTCATCAGGCTATCTGTGCACATGTTCTGAGGGATACACAGGCAGCAACTGTGAAATAGATATCGGAGGTGAGCAGAGAAAGTTAAATTTTTATCATACTTATTAATGTTAAAATTTCTGTGATGGGCTAATAGATAAACTGTAAGAATTGAAGTACAGTACAGCATCACCATTTAAATTGCTTACATTTAAGTTATTTCTTTGCTAAATTGCTCATGGAAAGAGTCGCCTAATTTGGAAAAAAAAATGTTTTAATTTATCTATTTTAGAAATAGAGAAATTATATAAAACTATTACTGTACATAAAGAAGAATATTCTATTATTATCATTTATGATTCCTAATCTCATTTTGTTATATTCTTCAGATATGGCATGCACACAAAACATTTGCGTAAATGGAGGAACCTGTATACAGATTGGAGATCAGAATTCATGTTATTGTTTGCCAGGGTTCACTGGCCAATATTGTGAACTTTTGAAAGGTAATGAACAGCAGTGTGGGATGTATAATAAAAGATTTCAGAAGTGGGTATTATGCCTAGGGTTTGAAGGAACTGAACCCTTCCAAATTTAGGGGTTTTTTTATCCCCCTGTTGGGGTAAAAAAAATTACAATTTGTCAGAGAAACAAAATTATATGTACTTTTTACGTACAGTTAGACTTTAATACCGATTAAATAATCCTTAGTTTCCAGACCCTTTCTGGGTGATTCTAAGTGACGCCTGACCATGCCCACTTAGGCTCTCCCAGAGAAATCGGCCTATCGTTGAGACATCAGCCCCTCTGTTGGGCATCCTAGTGCCGCCACTGATTTGGACGGTCCTTTGCATGATAAAATCATTTCTCCATTTTTGTTTTATTTGCATGGGCTTCAGAAGCCATGAATCTTGGTAGCTAACAGTGGTGCTAATAATCCTAAGAAACTATAAGTCTTCCTGCTATACAAGATATTGTAACAGCTGGGATAAAATATGAATTTATGTCTGGAAGAATCTAATATGATAAAGTACTTACATAATAAGAAGCCTAGAAGTATAGTACCGTATATTAGCAGCTGAAGAACAAGTGTTGCCTAATAATCAACCTTGTTTAACCCTCTTCCTTCAGATTTAAGATTTCATCAGCAATTTTTCGCAATTGGTTCATGGCCAGTTACAACTGATGCAAAGATATGTCTCGCATTAATTTTGAATCGCTATATACAATTTTTATTATTATTTTATCTCGGCCACCGGCAACTTGAAATCTTCTATCAACAAATCTTTATTTCTTCTTTTCTGCGCCTCGGAATAGCGCGCTAGATAGATGGCTCATTATAAATTCTGTCTTATTATTTTTTTTTTCCACTCAATTATACAAAATTTTATCAATATTTACCTCACATTCTTGCATATATTTATTCATTAAAAATATATATTATCACTTTTTAGCCTAAATGTATTTTGCAGAACAGTTTTCAAAACATGAAAACAAAATTATATTTTTATATTCCTCTTTCTGAAGATTTCTTAAAAATAAAATTTGGAGAACAAGGTAGAAAAAATTGTCAGCTCTTAATAATTTGAAAGATGAAAAACATGAAGGAATCCAATTGACAGGTGTGATTTATTGTTTAACATTAGTTGCTAACTGTTTAAGTTCATGTCATCATGGCGCTTATATATAGCTTCATGATGTCACATAGGCCTACTAAAGTACATTCAAAGGGTCAGTGAATAACATACTGAATGTGTAGTGTGATTAAGAACACGGTATTACACAACCAATAACAAGTTAAATAGCAGAGGATGTTTAAATTTTTAGCAATAGAAAGGATAAATGCTTGGCAGTTCACCAAAATGATATTGTAAACTTTTAAGATGGTTAGTCTGATCATGGAGGTAAAAAATACCTCCATGATCTGATATCATCTAAAAACTGTGTATGTTTCTTCTAAGGAAGAGAAATTTAGAAAATTTAATATCTTTTTCCTGTTTTGAAATGGAAAATGGATTGAGATCTCTAGTCTTGATAATTTTGAACACAAAGCAAAATTTACCTACATGCTAACACCAACTGTTAGTCCAATATTCATTCTACCACTATGCCAACACACCAGAGAACCATTTTGATATTCAGGCTAATATTTGCCAACAACATCATGTTTACTTAATTGAATATAAAAGAGGAATACTTGATTATGTATTTGATGTTGTCTACAGGTCTTTGCCATGCAGATTCTTGTCAAAATGGCGGTACTTGTCGAACCGTAAACAAAGTTCTTTCAACAGTCACTTGTGTCTGCCCACCAGGTTTCACTGGAACGGATTGTTCAATGCTCCTAGGTAGGGCTAGATTTACCGTGCACGGATGAACAACTGAAGTGTTTTGGGGCTGCTTGCCTTTAGAAGCTTGTTGTACGTAGAATTGTCATAAAAAAAAATGTTTGTGCATGCCATGCCAAGCTTCAATATGCTCAGCAGTGTTTTCTACTATTTATCTTCAAATCAGTGTTTGTATTATTCTGGAGAACTGAAAATGAAATGGAATTTATCTGTTTTTGCCAAATATTATTGCAACAGCTTGTTGTAAGAATCAAACATTCATGTGGTCAAAAATGCTATGCTTAATGATCACATTTGACAGTTGTTATTTTATTTATTGACCAAGTCAAATGTTATGTACAGAAATTGTTTCAGTGAAATAATTGCTTGTCAAAAATATTTGCCATGTAATTTCTCAATCTAATGTAGAACATTCCTTCCTAGTAATATTTTAGAAGCTAAATCCCAAGCCCTTGTTATGGAAATCAAACGTGCAAATTTATTATCTAATTATTAGAAAATATTAATTATTACTTTTGTTACATCTTTTGTTGTCATAGACCTAAAAAAAGCAATGGATTATAATTTTATACTGTATACTAATCCCTTACCACTAGTTGAAACTCTGGTTTCAATTGTTGTTGTCATAAACCTAAAAAACACTTGATAATTATCACTTTATATTGTATACTACTCCCTTAGCACTGGTTAAAAATTGAAAATAAAAATGTTGGTAGTTTAAATATTCTTTAAAAAAAATAAAAATCCCTAAAATTATGGATACAAAAATGTTTAAAAAATTATTTTAATTATTTTTGAATGATGACTAACTCTGGTTTGAAATTTTTTAAATAAAAAAACTAATAAATAATTGAAAAAGTCATTGCAGCTGTTTTCCATGTATACCAACGTCTCCTTTTCTGGTACTAACCCACACATGACTCAAGAAATCAATACGCAAAGTTCATCTATAGATATCTCCATGGTTTAATCAATGAAGTTTTAGCTTAAAATCTGCTGTTTTCATCACAAACAGACTGGTAGAAGAGTACTTAAGTCTTGGTCGTCACCAATTATTACGGACTTGAGGATAATTACCATTAATGTCTCCCATATCATATTTGCAAATGCTACACAACCGTTATTTCACAGCGGACAAAAACGCGACGAAATTCTCATAATTTTTCGCACTTTGTTTGTGAGTGCCACTTCCTGTAGTCCTCTTTGTCATTAATGATTCGTTTTATGATGTTCCTCATTATAATCCCAGTCACTTCGAAGTCTTAAGTATCAAGTTTTAAGATGAGCCTTGAAAGCTAATTCTCAATGGCTGTGAACATTAAGTCTTCAAAATGTAGGAAAGCATATTATGGTTTAATAAACTTGATGGGTTTTTTTGTTTGTTTATTGTTCTCCCTTTGTTTTTTGGGTCATTACAGCATTCAAGGATGTTCTGTTACTATTTTTTTTAACTGGGATTTTGGGCAACATAGTTAAATGTGGCTTTACTAGTATAGCTTAGTCTTTGAATACTAAGATCCTTGGTTCGGTGGCTGTACTGATCACATTGCTTGCTGTCCTTGATCATAGGCTTGTGTTTGTGTATTGTTATCAAAGAATAGAATAAAGAATATAATATAGGTAGCATAGTAAATATTTGAATGCTGTGTATTGTCTATAATATTGAATGTACTGCATGAATAGGCATAATCCTTCCCTTTGGGAGTGGGAAGATGACTGCTGATTGTGCATGTTTGTTACTAGGGATATAATCCTAATGGATTAGCAGAGGCTGCAGGCTGTGCATGTCTGCTGGCATATGATCTGAAAGAATTTAAGTCTGCAGTAATATCGCAATAAAGAATATTTTCATATGATATGAGGAAAATAACATGAGGCAAATTTTACTTTGTTTCTTTGATTGTGAACATACCATAAAAATGAAACATTCTGTTTTTATAATGATGAAGGTTGGCCTAAGATTATTTATTTTTAATATAAAATCAGCATATATAGCTCAGAGAGCAAAATGGTTGAAGCTACATTGTGTGCATTGAACCGGGGAGGTCCTTTCAAATCCTTCGGTCCCTGACTTAATTCCATTACTGCTGTAATTGTGTTTCTGCTAGAGGGATTGGTTCTGTGTGTAATATGTGTACGTTAAAGAACGCATTAGGGAACATCTTTTAAAATTAGGAGGGATTGTCTCCTGCTGTACACCAGAAGGACGACTCCACCCAAGGATAAAGGGTTTCAAACATGTAAAAGTGTGTGACACACTGAATGAAACCAGAAAATGTAATGCTTAATTCTTTCTGTTTTTGGCAAAAGTGCCTTTAGAATTGCTTGAGAGAGAATAATAGACTACTAAAATAATTGCTTTGAACTCAATGTGTATTAACCCTGTGAACTTTTTGTGTGGTTAATTTTACTCTATTTATGTGACATTGTACAGGGAAATCATGTTTTTTTATGCCTATCATTCTCTATTACAGTATGGTACAAAAATGTTAACTGATAACTTGAACTTGAACTGTTGGTTTTATCAATAATGTTTTGTTTCCCGTAGGTTGTAGCAGTAACTCATGCTTTAACGGGGGAACATGTAACCCATCTACCACCGATCTCAACGGATATGTCTGTCAATGCTCTTTGGGGTACACCGGCAGAATTTGTCAGACAGCTCTTGAAGGTAATTTAACAAGATTGATAATGAACAGGTTCCTAAGGTGCACCTGTAGGCTTATAGTTTGATGTTCATTCAATAAAAACTCATTATTTATCAGATGAAAACAATTTCCATATACCCTAGGGTGACCCCCATTAAAGTCTTGTTTTGAGGGTAGGGGTAGATTTGTGGTAATTGTAATAGTTCAAACATGAGACAGCGAAAACAAAAAAAGAAGTTAATTGAATCACTATTGAGTATGGCCTTTTACAGAATGCTTATGTCAAATTTAAAGTAAACACAGTAGTGTAAAACATATGTTATGAAAGATTCTGAAGTTTTATATAATACAGTATTATTATATAATACAGTATTAAAATACTAAAATTAATATATTACAGACCTGTAAAACAGTCAGCATAATTATAATAATTTTTATTATTTTATCAGTATCATCATTATCATCATTATCAAAATTATCATTATTGTATCATCATCTTTAACATCAACAAATTTCTCTTGTTCTGGACAGTATTGATTATCAATATCAAACAAAATATATTGTATACCCAACCAGTGCAATATATTATTAAATAAAAATATAACAATAAAATAATATCAATAAATGATATTGTGAAACTTTAATGAATTGTTCATCCCTTATTATTATACAATGTAATATATGTATTTTAATTTGTACCCAGACTTATTGGGCTTTTCATAAAGATCTCACCACTCCATTAATCACTATTATGCCTGAATCAATTTTTGATTTATAACTCAGATAATGCTTTTCATTTGCGAGGAAGAACAAATTTAAACAGCCTTCAAATTGACTTGACTTTAATCCTAAAACAAAATATGCCACGACAGATGGCTTAGGCTTAACCAAAGCAAATGTAAAACTATGATAGCTAGCCTGGGTATTATTAATACGGTTATTGTGCCAGGTCCAGTGTGATGACCTTTAAATAGCTTTGCTGATTCGGCTTCCATGCTTTTGTTGACAGCTCCCTAAGGAATAAAGATTTGTAGTCACTGGAAAAAGCCACATATGCGTTGATGTGAATTAAAAATAATCCAAATTTATTAGTTAGCCTAATTAGTTGTATTATATTTGGTATGGTAGATTTTGCCATATTTAGGATAGTTATTAGGATACTTTATGATAGATACTGTATCTTAATTGTATAGATACTATGCCATATATGAAATGATTAGGTACTGTACCATATGGAATGTTCTACATGAGATACAGTGTCATGCCTGTAGATACGTTTTGAAAGATACTGTGCCATATTTATGATATACTGAGATGGACATACTTCGCTATCTAATGATAAATACATTGATTAGTACTGTGCCCAAAATATGGAATATGTAACTGTGCCATACAGTTTTCTTTTAAATACTGTATAGTGATATACAGTATACTTTGATAAATATTGTATAATACTATAATAAACACTATGATATATTATGTACAAGAGAGTAAATACTATGTTTAACACTGTAATATGTCTACTGTCAGTGGCGGTTCTAGGATATATTTTCTGGGGGGGGGGCTAAGTTGTCTGACAGGGGGACTTGAGCTCGTAGGCTTGAGCTGGGAGAAGGGGTTGAGAGGGGGTTCCCCCTCCCAAATGAGATTTTTTTAAAGAATATCAACCTCTAGATGGCCGAAAATGGCACTCTGACAGACTGTGACAGGTATATGTTGGCTTGGTGTGGGCCTATTTTTATATGTTTGATGGTCTGACTGCCCGACGAGCTCTGTCCGGCAGGGGTCTTGACCTGTCCGGTGGGGGGATAAGCCCCCCTGCCACCCCGCTGGCGCCGCTACTGTCTACTGTGGCTTAATAGCCGTAGTAGATAGTGCAATGTATTTTATTAAATAAATACTGTGCCATATACTGTGAAAGATGAGGCATGTTGTGGCAAAATGGCTAAGTTGTAGCAAAAATTGAAATTCAAGTTAATAAAATTTTCAGAGTATGTGATCTTTAAAATGAGGGGTCATTCATTCAAATTGGACATTTCAAGCCTAAGTTACTGGAAAGTG